CTAAAATTTCAATATTTATGCTATGGAATATTTACAATCTTTGTCACAATTTGAAATTGAGACTTGGAGTATATTGGTCATTGACACACTAACACTCACAACCACAAATGAAGTTATAACGAAACATACACATTCTATCTCAATTTGTTCTTACATACAATGGCTTCGACGTACTTTCAAACTTAGAATAGCTTTGGCTGAGCTCTGATAGAATGGAAAATAAACAATTTCGTTGAACACTATTTTTTCGTATTTTATGTTTTCAATATTTCTTTCGTAGTTTCAAAAATACTAAAACCGCATTGTTTATGATTTAATTGTCACCAGCTATACGTTCAAAATATTGTTTCAGTACCAAATTCGATATTGTGTGAGGTGCTCTGCGTGCTGGATGTTGTGCATTGCGAATTTGGGTCTCTTCATAAACTGCCTCGTTGTACCTAGCCTCTTCATCTCGGGATAACGGGGGAATTATAATGTCATTTGTAATTTTACAAATATTGTGAAGTACCGCCGTAGCGACAATTACATCTAATGTGGTTTCGAGCTTCCGAAATCGCATGCCGATCCATAGGCAGGGAAATCTCTTCTTCCACTGTCCATTGAATCTTTCCACTACATTTCTTGTCGCGATATGTGCACGTTGATACATTACCTCGGCAGGTGTTCTGTTTTGTTGATTCGTTTCTCGCAATGGAGTTGCCAAAAAGGTTTCTGAACTGTAGCCTCCATCACCCAGTAGAATTGATTGTCTATTTTGACGATTAAATTCGCCATTTAGAAATCGTTCAAATAAAAGTGAATTTAAAAAAATAGTCTCATCGTGTATACTGCCCGGCCATCTGGCAACAATATCTAACACTTTGGCATTGGCGTCGCATACAATCTGGGTATTTATGGCATAAAATTGTTTTCTACAAAAAAACATTGTCTTATTGTAGGCGCCGCCAACTTCTTGAATTTTTACCAATGTACCATCGATTGCACCTATAATCGTTGGCATTCCTGCAACTCGAAAGAATGCACGTTTTGTTTCGTCGATTTCAAGATCATCAGTCGGCATTCTAATAAATCTTTCTCGAAGCGCTGCAATTTTGTCGCTCACTACTGGTATAATATTACGTACGGATGTTTCGCTTACACCATAAAAATCAGCAGTCACAAGATTATAGCTGGCACTTGCGTAGTATCTTAAAGTGATTAAAATTTTATCTAATCCACTTAAGGTAAATCCAGTTCGTGTTACCAATGGCTCCAATCCATCTCCAATTAACGTATACAAGTATTGTACCGTGTTTTTTGATAGTCGAAATCGCCTGCGGAATTCGTTGTCTGTGAAAGTGTCCATGGCATTTCTACGC